ACATATTCCTATATAATAGTTTGTTTGATAATGTATGTCATGAGGAACACAGGTAGATGCTTTAATGAATATATTTATCTTGTCACTGAACCATTGCTAGATGTTGAGTCTATAAAAGCTGCAAAAGGACAAAAGGAGCGTTCTCCATTGTCCGTTTATCCAGTGAAAGGATCACTAGTGAGAGTTATAATTCACGTGTTTAAACCAAACAAGATTTTCTTCCCCATTTCCTTTCTTTGTTAGCTCTGTCTTCACTTGTCCCTAGAGCCCCTGTGGCCTCTAGAAACTATTTATTCAGGAAACCCTTACTGAGCATTTGCTGTTGTGGGAGGGACTGAGCTAAGTGCTGGGGTTAAAACCATCGGGCATAATCCTCACTCTCGCAAGGCTCCCAGTCTAGTGGGGAATGTGTGTGTGTGCACACACATGTACACACACGCAGAGGCGTGGAGCCCATGTCTGCACTCACTTAACTGCTCAGTGGCAGTCACAGAGGGCTGGCGCTACTCTCACATGAGGCCGTTGCATGGGAGCCCCGGATGCAGCCCTCATTCTCAAAGAACAGTAATAAGGAAAACAAATACTATCAAATGGGCTGATTCCTCTGCACATTGGCCTCCACCTCTCAAGGTCCAAAATCAGTTTCTAAAATCTGGGACCATCACACATGTGCAAATCTCCATGTCTTTTCAAGAATAAACTTTGTAGTTAAAATGTAGTAGCCCAACTAGCTCCTTGCCAATAAGGCAGTGTGTGTCCAGTTGAGAAGCAGGTGCAGGAGACGATGTGTTCTGTAGGTGCCGTCGGCCGGAGGGAACTTTGATGATGATAATGGGCTCCCCTCTCTCCACCGAGGCCCTGCCTGTTTCTCTTCTTCTTGCCCACGTTCTCTCTCCTCCCCACCCCATTTCCTCTTCTCCCCCCATCCCCCTTGCCTTCTGCTATCTTGATCACCCCTCATTTTCCTCTCGGTACCCTGACCTGGGTAGATTGAACCCTGTAAACAAACATATTGAATCAATGTGGAAAATATAACAAAGGTGTGCCAGCACCCCAAAAGAGCAAGAGGAGCTTCAGAAAGGGGTTCTGGAGGCAACAATGTCCCTTTCCCTTTCCCTTTCTCTTCTCATCCTCTTTTTTGGTTTTTCTTCTTTTTATTCCCTACCACTTGGAGCCCTTCTTCCTTCCTTCCTTCCTTCCTTCCTTCCTTCCTTCCTTCCTTCCTTCCTTCTTTCCTTCCTTCCTTCCTTCTTCCCCACAGAATGATTTATGTGACACTAAAACCTGACAGAGGGGTCTCCTGGGGCTCACAGCCAGCCTCAGAGCCCCCTTGGTCTGCCCTGCTACCTCCCCAGCTGCATCCTGCCCCCCTTGTGCGTCACCCCCCAGAATACCAATGGCTTCACATCACCTACACATGCTACTATGCTCCTGCGAGACTGAGGACCTGTGCACTGTTTCCTGTGCCTGGAATGCCCTTTCCTTACTTCTCCACCCAGCAAATTCCTCTCCTTCTAGTCTCCAAGCAGGAGGCACCGTTGCCTCCAGAACCCCTTCCTAAAGCTCCTCTTGCTCTTTGGGGTGCTGGCACACCTTTGTTATATTTTCCACATTGCATTCAATATGTTTATTCACAGGGTTCTGCCTACCCAGGTCAGGGTACCGATCCATTTGTGCATCCCTAGCGTAGTTGGGCATAGAATTAATGCCCAGTAGATGTTTGGTGTCAAATGGAGATAGAAGAGCGCATATTGTGGCAGTGGATATGGGTTCATTCACTCATTAATTTATGGTATTCACAATAAAACACAAGGAAACTTGATAGGCAGATGCCTCAGATGTAGGATTGATAAAGACAGCTTCTAGGGTAGATGCTCTCAATTGAGGGTGAGGGGTGTTTCAGACATTCTTATGGGACTTCATCGAGCAACACTGGTTGGAACCCCTTCTATGATCCTCTCCCCTCGCCCCTGTGAAGGACCATCATTCCCGGTGTTTTTAGTAGGATACAGATGGCAATTCTTGCTTCTTATGTTCTTGCTTCTCTAGTGTTTTTAGCTCACAACTAAATAGACACACGGGACTAAAACATATCTATTCAGGCATGTTCTTCTTTAAAATTATCATTTGGAGTTATAAAAGAAACTAATTAGTTCAAAAGAATGGATGTTTTCTGGGAGAGTCAGGGCTGCCAGGCAAAGCAAAGGTGGAAGAAGACATCAGTACGTCACCCGACACCCCTGAGAGACTCCTCTGTGGACCCCAACACACTGCAGTGTGGATTTGTTCCCAGTGTCTGGACCTGTGGAGAATACCCACAGGGCATTTACATTTGGGGAAGGAGGGAGGGATTCTGGACTGGGGTGAGCTTTCTGTTGATAACCAAATGTTAATGTGTGAGCAGCACCCCACCTCAAAGACCCACCTAGTTTTCTGATATACTTACTAATCCACTGTGTTTATAGTGCAATTTTATATCTTGAAAAAATATGAAAAGATATTTTAACATCCTAGCAGATTCTGTAATTCTGTTATTCAAAGGTTCTTGAAGGATAGATCTGTTTAAGCTGAGCCTTTACGATTGAAGGACAGTTCTTGCTATTCAGAGCAGTGCCACACCCACTAAAGACATAGAGGTGTGATCAAAAAATACAGTGAATCTTTAAATTTAAAAAAAAAATCTATTACAGTAAAAGACACATTGCCATTAATTCTCCTCAAAATACTCCCCCTCTCTTTGAACACACTTATTCCATCATTCTTGCCACTTTCTGAAGCAGTTCTGGAAGTCCTTTTTCATGTCTTTAGTTGTATTGTTGTGGCTGCCTTGATGTCCTGAATTGATTCAAAACGTGTACTTTTCATGGTGATTTTGACTTTGGGGAAGAACCAGAAGTCACACGGTGCCAGATTTGGTGAATAAGGTGGATGAGGATACACTATAATGTTTTTATTTGACAGAAATTTCCATACCAGAAGCGACATGTGACACGGAGCCTTTCCGTTGTGATCCCAAAATGTGGTGAGTGCTCCTGCCGAGTGCCATCCAATGGAAAAGCAGAGAGAGATCTTCAATACAGGAACTGGCATGTTGAAACATAGTAACTGTGTGACAAGTTTCAACTTGTTCAGTGAAGTCTAGTGGTTGTGAGCTACAATTGAGAGAAGGTGTGTTTTAAAGTGTGCCATAAATCATCCTCCATCATGACAACATTCTGTGTCACACATTGCTTCTTGTATGACAATTTCTGTCAAATAAAAACATTATGGTGTGTCCTCATCCACCTTATTCACCAGATCTGGCACCATGTGACTTCTGGCTCTTCCCCAAAGTCAAAATGACTATGAAAGATAAACATTTTGAATCTATTCAGGACATCAAGGCAGCCACGACAGTGCAACTTAAAGACACTCACAAAAGAGGACTTCCAGAACTGCTTCAGAAAGTGGCAAGAATGATGGATCAAGTGTATCTGAAGTGAGGGGGAGTATTTGAGGGGGATTAATGGCAATGTGTCTTTTACTGTAATAAATTTTTTATTTAAACATTCATAATATTGTTTGATCACACCTCATATATGTATATTGTTTTTCCCAGCCTGGCTCCAGATATTATTAAAAAACTCACATCCATTAATGTTTCCCACTCAAGACTACCTCTGCACACACAAGTAATATATATAAGCAAAAATTTAAAATTATACATATTCTAGGCCATATAATTAATACAAAGTATCTCTGAATTATCAAATGCCCACTATAAGGAGTGTTTGCCTGGCTACTTTTTGTGCATATAGATCTTTATTACTAGAATAAAGCCAAGAAAGTTTATACTGGGCTAAAAATTCTACAAACTAAACAAATTCAACACAATCCACTCAGCTTTGCCTCAGTAGCTGCTTAGTTGCAAGGCTGTATAATCTCAATGCTTTACTGAAAAACAGCTTTCATTAGACAATAACTTAAATGAAAATAATTAGATTCACATAAACACAAGCTTATATACAATGAATGTCTTGCTTCTTTGAAACATTGGAATTGAGTTCTTTCTTCATATGTGATGCAACTTTTTATTGTTGTAACAAATGCCATGTATTAAAAACTTATTTCAATTTTATTGTTCTTCAGTATGCCATTAGTAAGTGACTTATGAAGTAAATCAAGTTAATTTTCATAGAAGCAATTCTAAGGGGGAAAGGAGTGAGAGAAGGGGTTTACAGTTATTAAGGCCCTAGTATACTTTTTTAAATCTCCCCAACAACCTTGGAAAGTGGTTAGCCGAACTGATATCACCATACCGAGTCAGAGAACTTGAATTATAATTGTGTGAGTAATGAAGAAGACAATGATCTCAATAGTAATAAATGTAATTGGCTGCTATTAATTGAACTGTTTATTTGTCCCAAGAACTGCCAGCATAACACTGCTGGGGAACACTGTGAGCGCTGCAAAGAGGGTTACTATGGGAATGCCATCCAGGGATCCTGTAGTGTCTGCCCGTGTCCTCATTCAAACAGGTACTGTGGAAGCTTGAAAAGAATCTATAGAAACAGGAAGTAGTTTGGTGGTTGCCTAGGGCTGGGGGTTTGGGCTGGGAAAATGGGAAGTGACTGCTAAAGGGTATGGGATTTCTGTGGGGGGTGATGAAAATGTTCTAAAATTAATTGTGGAGATGGTTGTACAATTCTTTGAGTATACTAGAAGTCATTGAATTGTACACTTTAAAGTGTGAATTTGATAGTATATGAATTATATCTCAATAAAACAGTTATGTTAAAAAAATAAACAAACAAAAAATGCGAAACAAAACCAACAAAAGCAGCCTTTCCAAGTTGTATGCTTCTGGGTTTTACCTTTTCCTCTTTTCTTTTGCTATCCATTTAATGACTAAACAATTATTTGTTGAGTACCCATTATAGGGCTAGGATACAGTCCTTTCTAGATGCTAGTAAAGAAGACTAGCAAAGAGTCTGATCTCATGAAGCTTTATCTAGAGAATATAGACAGGGGGAGTTGTGACACTCAATAAATATGTGCACAAATAAGTATACCTTCAGATAGAGATGGCTTATGCAATTGATTAAAGGGTTATGTGATTGATAGTAAGTAGTCTCTTTAGAGAGGGTGATAGGAGGGCTTTCTGAGGTTGTTGGGCAGGGAACAATGAATGAAGAGATGGAGCACACCATGGCAATATCTTAGCAATGAGGGTCCCAGGCAGGAGAAAAACAGAAGAGAAATCCCCTGTGACGATGTGTTCGTGGACAGTAAGAAGGCAAAAATGACAAGTCCAGTGTGGGAGAGAGGGCCAGGAGATGAGGCTGGTGGGGCAGGGTTCAGACCCTGAAGACCTTGCATGCTGGAATAAGGCATTTGGATTTTCCCCTCAGTGTAATGGAAGCCATAGGACAGTTCTGGGCCACAGAGTGATGTGACTGAGTTGTTATTCAGACCTTAGTATGGCTGATAGGTTATGTAGGTAGAAAGCCGCCACTTTCTTTTCTTGGTAACCTGTGTTCCATTTGGGCTTGGCACCTTGTCATAGTCTTGTTCATTGTGACATATTCACTGTGGGTCCAAGCAAAATAGAACGAGTAAGTAAGTGAAGCAAGAAAATATACCGATAAAATATCAGTAGGGCATAGACTCTGGAACAACAGTAGACCACAAGATATCGGCCGAGTAGCAAAGAAATTGGCCAAGTCACTTGGCCAAATGTTGCTTTTCTGGAGGTGCATATTTGAAATAATCACCCTGCTTTGCTATCTATGGATTTGATACTCCTTAAACCTGCCCAGTCCTGCGGCTTTATTTGTAGAGAAATCTATCACTTGACACCAGCCCAGACTTGTTTGAACAGAAGCTAGAGAGAGTAGAAAGCAGAGATTTCCACAGGGTGCTTGATCCAAGCCTTTCATCTTTGGTGGCAAAGTGTATTGTTAACATCAAGGTCAGCTTCCAGCTTCCATGCAGTTGATGTAATATGCAGTTCCTCAGATTTATCAATAAAATTCTCCTTCCAGTGACTTTAATACTGCTGACAAATGTCTAACTCCCTTTAGAGCTGTAACTATATTCGCCTAATAGGCCAAGAGAAGCTTCCCAAAATAAGAATTGTCTTACCAGCAAATGATAAATGAAATTATTTCCCCTCAGATTTACGTCAGTATAATGTTCAAAGCACAGACATGGACATTTCACAAGGCAGCAGGGATTTTTTCACAATCTCTTTGTTTAGTAATAATAATATTTAAAAAACCTTCTCAAATGTATGCCAGTTTAGAAGTAAAAGAAAGGGAATCAAAATTCTACAACTTGGTTTGAAAAATGTAAAACTCACCAGTGATCATGCCCACAGAAATATGTAGGTGGCAACCATGCTTTGTGCCTTAGTCCCTCTGGGGCTCTGAGGGCCTGGCTCCACCACCTTTTCTTCCCAGAAGGCAATGTGCCCAATATAAAAGAACTAGAATAAACACAGAGAAAATTTTCTGAAAGAATCGGAACTCTCTGTTCTTTTTTTTCTGCCTAGACTTGTTTTATTCCTTCCTTGTTATTCCTGGAAAAATACTGTTGTAATCATCTCTTCCAAAGTGACTTACTCTGTTCCATCTTACGGGAACGAATGCATTTCTCCAGGCCAAAAATAAAACAAAATAAATGCCTTCAGTCCTAATTCACTAAAATTTGCTCAGTGTTAGCTGAAATAATTCATCATTATCTCTACCAGTCTTGATGGGCAAAATTTTCTTCACACAAAAAGGAACCAGACCCTTGGTTTGGTTTCTGTTTTCACTTACTGCAAGTCAGTAGTTTGTGGCAAAAAATAATAAGCATAACGCCTATTGATTTATGTCTTCACTGGGGCTTTGTTCTGTCTTCCTTGAAGTTTTGCCACCGGCTGCGTCGTGTCTGGTAGAAATGTGCAATGCTCCTGCAAACCCGGATACACAGGAACACAGTGCGAAAGGTGGGTGCTCCCCCCCCCCACTTCCCCTCCTCACCACCTATCCTGCAGGTGAGGGTGAGCTCTGCAGGCAGGCTGCTGCAGGTGCCCGGGCTGTGGGTAAGGCTCTGCCCAGTCATAGCTCAGAGCTAGGGGTGGGGCTGTTGGTTTCACTGAGGCTAGAAAAAGGTCTCTTAGGAAAAATACAACACTGCTCATTTAATAAATCATTAACTTCCTCCTCTTTCCTGTTTTGTATATGTCTCAGAAATTTGAAAATAAGGTCCAATATGTCATAGCCCTATATTACTCCCCAACATACAGCCCTGTAGACACCTACCCTCATGCACCCCGCCTACATACTCCTTCCCCTTCACATCCCTATACACCCCTTTCCTTCCTCATCCCTATACCCTCCTCCCCCATACAAATCCCTACATACCCCTACCTGCATATAAATTCATCCCTGCATACTTCTACCCCAACATATACACATCACTAAATAACTACCCCACACACATTCCTACTTGCCTGCACACACACATACAACTCCTATATATCCACAGCCCTAGACATTCCTACACACACAACACACACACACACACACTCACACACACACACACCTCTATTCCACCCATAATATTTTATGATTAGCTACTATGCAGAGGGCACTGCCAAGTATTGCAAATGCTATACAAGGTACTTACAACCTAGCTGGGTGGGAAGATAGAACACACATATTTGGAAAAGTAATAGTATAACAAATGAATCACATGGACAACAAATTTTTAAATTTAAAATGACTTTATCATAAAATCGGCACGTATGTATTATAACAGTGATGTAATGCAGGTGAGCTAAGAACTAATGAGGCCTACCACACCCCTACAGGCCTGCTCACTTGCAGTCCGATTCATAATCATTTTACCTGCAGAAAACCACTGTTAAAAGCTTATTGCGTGTTCTTACAGATCATTTCTATGTTCACAGACTTTTTCTTAAAGACAAACGCAGATTCCTATTTTGCTTTCTGTTTTCTCACCAAACAGTGTGTTAGTAATATGTTTCCATGCCTGTTAAGTACTCATTGATAACATCGGGTCAGGCCAGAAGCTCCCCTGACGTTCCATGTCCCCTGCTGTGGGTCTTTGAGATAGTTTTACTGTTTTTCATTGAAAGCAACACCCAAAGTAAATCCTGCTAGCTAAATATTTGTGTACATAAATCCTCAAGATATAATTATATGAGTGGCTCCCTTGGGTGAAAGATAATACATTTTTCAGACTTTTGATACATTTTGCAAAATTATCCTCCAGAAAAGTTGTATCTGTTTACATTCTGGCAGTGAAAGAGCAGGTGCCGGCCCAAGATGGATACGAAAAATGATCAACTTTTTAAAATATTTACCAACTTGATAGGGAAACATTGTATGCCATTTTAATTTACATGTCTTTGTTTAATAATCAGATTGGCCTTTTTTTTTCATGTGCTTATTGAGCATTTGTAAATCTCATTTTTTCCCATTTTTCCCATTTTTCTACTGGAGTATTCTTTTATTTTTTCATGGGTTTGTATGTTCTTTTTAGAGGAAATTAACCCCTTATACTACATGTTTTCTGTTTGTATGTTTTTGGGTGTTTGTTTGTTTTCTCAATTCTAGGTATGAAGCAGTTAAGTTTTTGTATCTATTCTTTTACCCTTTAGGGTTTCAGCCATTGGAGAGGTAATATAAATGTTTATGCGTATTTTCTTTTAGTACTTTTATGGTTTTATTTTTTACATTCAAATCTTCATGTTGGTTAAACTTCAGCAAAGTTTTATCAAATATCAAAAAAACAGAAAATTAATTCAACTGGATTTTGTAGTATGGCCGGGCCACTCTAGACTCGGGTTATCTGAAACATTTTATAGACTAGGTGGGATTTAAGTGGGTTAAAGAGATGATTAGAACCCAGTGGGGCTGCAAGATGGAGGTGGAAGGTGGCTCAGGTCAGGGAAGTAATTCAAGAAAGCCCAAAGGCCTAGTGGATACCTGCCATGGGTAGAAAGGAGGTCTGCCTTATTATGGGGAACACTAAGTGTCTGGAACTGTCCTATACTAAAAAGCAGCAATTCAAAATGTTTCTCTTTTCTGTTTCAGTAAGGGGAAATTCCCCACACTTGCCTCACATCTGTTATTCATTCTTTCCTTCAATGAAAAATAGTATATGGAGATCCCAGTATATGCCAGGCACTGTGCTAAGCACTAGAGACACATGAGCAACCAGAACATAGGCTCTGCTCTCACAGGTTTTTACAGCCTAGTGGTGGACAGACACACAAACAAGCTGTTAAAATTGTGAGAGAACATAACTAGGCTATGTCGGGCTGCAACAGGAGGGACATTTAACCATCCTTGAAGGGTGAGGGATGGAAGGGGCAGCTATACTGAGACAGGAACGATGGGTGGGGTGGGGAATGGCGCTTGGAAAGGTCTCCCAGACTGTGATTTAAAAGCTCTGGGACCCCCACCTGGGAGAGACATCCTCATTCAAGCCTCCTTATGGCTCTTCACGAACAATGAAGCAGGAAACAGCAACAGGCTGGATGACACGTTCATTTGGCGGGCAGCTAATGTGAAAAGAGAAATTCTTAATTAACAGTTCTTCTCTTAGCTTGTGTTTGTTACCCTCGATGTCTCAAGAAAGTGAGCTATTGTTTCTTTTGAGTTTTAAAATTTGTTCACAGGTAAATGCCATTTCAATGTCAATTTTTTTTCATTTGCTAAACATTTGTTGAGCGCCCACTCTGTGCCTGACATCAGTTCCAACACTAGTTGTTAACTGCGCAATTATAAATCCAAGGACAGTATAGAATAAAAGCAGGAACATGCATGCTTCTCCCTCAGTCACTCAGAGCCACAGATGACAAATGTGTTCTCTGCTCTTTTTTGTTGTACCAATGTCATCTATGAAATCAGGAAGTTTTACTTCAGCCATTGTGTTAAGCCACTACCATAAAATGCAAATAAGGGAACCAGTCATTCCTTGCCATCGGTAACTAATGCTTTGCGAAAATAAGGAAGAAATAGAATCAAACTTCCTGAATATTTATGTAACCTTGATTTAAAGTATTTTATAATTATGAATCTTTTACATGGAAAGTTTATATATCAGTGAGACACCTAAAAATAAAGCATTTATAACATAGATCTTTTGCATAGCATGGTTTGTTAGGTAGACTATAGGGCTGGTCACATAAAGTAAAGCCCTTATTAGGGCTTTATTTATTAGTCCATTACCACCAGCCTGCTTAGTAGGCTAAGCCAACTCAGTTACCTTCTTGATAACTAGGAAATACAGGGGTTTTCTGCTTTCTATCTACTTTCTGAAATGTAATAATTCCAAATGATACCAATTATACATATATACATATATATGAATATTTAATAATGTCTTATATTGGTACTACCTTTTATTAAGTATTTATCATATGCAAGAATAGTACTAGATTCTTTACTACATTATTTATCTTATATCTATCAACCAAAATAGTGCAGTGTGTTCACTCATTCATTCATTCACTTATTCATTCAACATATTTCTGTCTGACACTTAATATGACCCAGGGATTATCCCAGGTTCTAGAGAAATATCAGTGAGCAAAATAGGCACAAGAAAAATGAATAAAAATTAAAAAATCCATACCCTCATGGAGTTTATGTTTTCATGGGAGAAATAGATGAAGAAACTGAAATTTGAAGAATTAAGACAACAGCCTAAGATCACACTAGTACATGATGGACCCAGGGACCCAGCCAGGTCTTCCTGGTTCAGAACCCATCTTCTCTGCACTGTATCACCAGTGTACCCATTAGTAAAGCGTATTTAGATTGCCTAACCATTCTTTGATTCAAAGCTTAAATTTGGGAAATAGGGTCAAAAACCATATATCTTGATTCTATCAATTCCATTGATGATAAGACATCCATTTAATGACAATTTTGGAAGGTTAGGGTGGCAGTGGAACTTTGCTAATGAACAGAAATATTTAAAATTAAATTCTAATTCCAGGAAAATATATGTATATATATATATATATTTTTTAAACAGAAAATCATAACTAAGGAACTATTATCTTTCAACTTGTAGCCAAGGAACTGAGTTCTCATCCTTAAATATCTAAGACTAATGAAGTTTCAAGGCCAAGGTTAGCAGCTGAGTTAAGTAACTGAGGTTACTTAAGCCCCATTATAGACAGCAATGCAGAAATTAGTGCAAATATGAATTAAGGCAGACTTGAAATAGTACAATAGGAAATACTAATAAAAGCCCCTTGATACAAACATTTGAAACTATATAAATTTTACTTCAAATTTCTTCATTGAGGAAGTTAGCTGTATATTAAGTAATATATAACTGTGTGATATCTTCAGGAACATAACTCTTGCATAAAATTCAACCACTCCTGATTTTCATATTGGTCAAACCACTGGCTTTGGTGTGCCATTCGAATATAGCGGTAATTAAGGATCCTGACATCCTAGGTGTCAGGGAGGAAGGGAGCCATCTCTGCCTGCCTCCCGCTCTCACCAATCTCATTCAAGTCATACATATCTCTGTACTGAGACACATTCATTCTTGAAAATCTATGTCAGCCTTCCTCCCATAGGGTTACAATATCCCAAACAGGGAGCTAGAGGTTGAGAAAATTGGATGGAATAAATGATGAGTTCTTTGGGTGTTTCTCCTCTTTTCTATATTTTGTGTAGGTGTGCACCAGGATATTTTGGGAATCCCCAGAAACTTGGAGGTAGCTGCCAACCATGCAGTTGTAACAGCAATGGCCAGTTGGGCAGTTGTGACCCCCTGACTGGAGGTAAGATCAACTCACACCTCTGTTAACCTGCATTTATCAGACTAGTGTAAAATAGCAGGCGAAGAACCCAAGTCAACATTTCAGGAAGCATAAAACACGATTCCAGCCAACAAATTGTCCCCTTATTTTGACAACCCCTGGAATGCTCGGGCAGTATTTTCAGCTTTGATGAATAAACTTACTTCAAGTAGGCTTCTTTTTTCTTTAAGTAAATTGTTTTTAAAACTCAACTAATTAAAGCCAAAATAACCTCAGACCCTATTTCAGTAATTTTGATGAGACCTCTTTTTCATAAGGTTATCATCACATCAGCTTTCTTTGTGTGTGTCTGAAGAAGTCAAAGTACTCTTTCTCTAATAGCAATAAATGTTCTAGGACATGGGTAGCATAATTGAGATGGGTTTTTACATACCAAAGAAAAAATAATTATTGGGAATTAGTATGGGTACATTAGGACCAACTTGGAAGAAAAAGGAAGACTATCCCCTTCCTTGTTTGAAAGAGAATATTAATGTGATTTCTCAGGAAAATACCATTGATATAGTGCAATGTCAAACCATTAGATAAAGTCTCTCATCTTATAATTATGGACAAGACAAAGAATTAAACTCTGGATGTTTGGATTACAGCTGGTCAAGTGACTATTCCCAAAGGATTGCAGAGTAAATGGATAATTATCAGTCTAGAATGAGGTGTCTATTGTCATGTCTGGGCCTTCATCCTCGGCTTTATCTTCAACATCAATTCACATTGTTGATTTGAATGAAAATGTGGAAGGCATGCCCACCCTTGTTATCAGGTGACACAAAGTTGAGAGAGATAGCAAATGCCTCCAAAGACACATTTGGAATATTAAAGGGCCTCAACAGCCTGGAATAATGGGACAATTCTAACCAGACAAAATTATGTTAGGGATAATCATGAGGTCCTATAGTTGAATGGCAAAAAAAAAAAAAAAATCAACATTTAAGTATGTGATAAGTAAGATGTGGCTTAGCAGTAGGAGATGTAAAAAGACTAAGGTTTTAGTTACCAATAAGTTTAACATGGCTCAGGAGATTAATGTGGCCCCTAACACGCCTCATACAATTTTCACTGAATTCTAGTGTCTAATTCACACTTGTTATTCACACTAATTAGACACTAGTATGCTGCTCACTTAAGTCCTCAAATGGGGCTATGTCTTTAGAAGACAATAGGCAAGCTACAGTTTGTTCAGAAAGAGGGTGAGACTGTGAAAGGACTTGGAACCATGTCACATGAAAGGTTGACAAACCAGGACAGTGAAGAGAAGACTTGGAAAGGGCACATTTGAAAGGCTGGTATGTGGGAGAAGGGCTGGTTTTGTTCTGTGTGGCATGAGAGAGTAGAACCTATACCAAAGAGTGGAAGCTAGAGGGAAATCTATTTTAAATCATCCCAAGGAAGACGTGCCGAATGTTTAAAGATGAAAAGGGCCGTTTTAAAAGGTGATGAGTTCTATTGGAGGTATTCAGGAAGCTTCAACATCACACACAGCTTATTTGTGAGGTTAATGTCTTTTCAACTCTCTTTTTCCCGTACTCTAATAATGAAAATAAGCAACCTGAAATGAGGATGGTAACTATTTTTTTTCCAAAAACAGAAGCAAATGCTCACACATGAGACTTGTTTGTCCCTGTGAGCTTTCTCTTTCTCTCCATTCTC